GTTAGAGCATGATTATATGTTGGGAGTAAATATATAAATTTTATAATATTAATTGTATTAGGATTGATGAAGAGAGAAAGATAGATGTATATTACCCCACTAAATATGGATAATATAATCCTATATTTAGAAACCCAAACATGGGTAAATATGAGTTTTGATTTAGTTTAATGGGTTTATTTGTTAAAAACCCACCTATATTTACTCTTAACACCCATCTATAATCATCATCTTAGGGAACTATCTTTACCATTTATAGTTGCCAACTTACAAATTATGGCTTCTAAATAGATACATATTCGGACAGAAGATTTAACAAATAGTTGCAAGACTTTGAAGTTACTCCTCCCTGAAAAAAGCTGGTGGATTGTTCAATTTTAGAGGATTCCACCTAATTTGTAAACAAACGTTTCAGCTTCAACCATTTGATATGTGTGACATTACATATAACCAACTTAGTTTTTAAGTATATTTAGTTTCCCATAAATAAAACAATTGTATAATAGTATAAAGTATTTGACTTATCATTATTATTGAACAAACCCTCATTCATATTTCTAGATCTGTCAAATGTTTAAAACAAACAAGAAACACAATTGGGATTTTGTCATTCATAATGAATGTTGGAAACTTGAGATCCCGTGGCTTTACTCTTCTTTCTTCTGGCTAGTCTCTAATGCACAAAGAGGGTTTGACTTTCTCTGACTCTTTGTTTGACTTTTAAGTTCTAACCATATGAGTCCATGACCATTGTCTCCTCATGTGTGTTCTACTCTCATGAACAAGAATCTCAACAAATAGAAGATGGAAACTATTACGAGTTGTGACGCTGTAGCAAGAAATTCTTCACCTTTGTCACCAAAGCAAACACGCCGAAGCACGGTATATGCATCACTGCCACTCCCAAGTACCTGCAGAAACATAGTAAAAGATCATTATAAGCGTCGCTTTTCTGATCGTTGAATTTTATATTTACATGATACATACCAAGTTTGAAGAGTTTAAGAACGTACCATAAGGGTGCGTACGGTGAGGAAAGATCAAGAAATTGGTATGGCCACCTGCAAAAGATGTAGAACAAGAGCCCTTAAAACTCTAAAGAGATTGCGGTGTTGTCTGTTGTTAAGACTTCACGCAGACATTTTGCAGAGTACTTAATCGAAACAATGAGTGAACGTCTGGGGTAAAAAAGATGGGAACTTTAGCATCTATGAAGATCAGAAAAAGTGTGTACCATAAGTTCTTGAAAGCATGGATTATCCATTGGTAAGTCACGAAAATGCAGCTCCAAAGCACAAAGTAAGAGATCCGGAACAGTGGGAATCGCTAGACGAGAAAGAAACAAGATAAAGATGCAGCGGGAATGTTAGGTTCTAATAATAAAAATGTGGGAGATTCGTGTATCCGCCAACTTCAGTTTTGAAGACTTACCAAGGAATTGAAACATGTGTCACCGAGGAGAAAAACAGCGTTGAGAGAATGCATACAAACATCAAGCTGCAATCAAAATATACTCACTGTCAACTTCGGGATTAGAGATTTCATCATATAAAATGACTACAAATCTTTTCTACAGAGAGAGAATCAAACAATACTAGAGCCATAACTTACAAAACTCAGCCTGTAACCTTTAGTAAAAGGATAGATTATCGCCCAAAATACGATATCTGTTAGCACAACAGCACCGGCACAAGTCTACCACAGTAAAAAAAAAAGGTCCTTTGAGATGGCATTGTACAGTCTTCACTCTCAACAAGATAATTTAGGTGGAAAAAAAGACATTTACTTGGAAAAGGATCTGAAAGATGTAAACCCAAAAACCCGCTGTTTCACGCACGGGTGCTTCTGAATGTGTATCAGAAGATTTTGAAGTATTTCCCGCCCCATCAAGAGTGATTGGTGGTCTATAAGTGCCTTGTTCCGCATCACCTATACTTGTATAACTCTCCATGTTACCACCAGCTTCTTTATTGTAGATGCAACATCCGTAAATAGATAACAACGAAGCATACTACGACATGAAGGAAAAAAACCACGGATTCAGTGTCTGATACTAATACAGTAACCTCAACATCGGAAGTTTCAAGTAATATACCCCAAAGTAGAGTGTGACAAGAGTAAATGTCCACCTGTTACACCAAAAAGATCCAATCTTTTTCATTTCATTTCAAATAGATTCAGAAATGTGAGGAATGAAGTTAAAACGATTATAAGAAACTCACTGAGTATAGAAGTAAAATATGCCGCCTCCATCACGAACAACATTGGAAATGAGTAGAGTCAACATTGCAGCAAATGAGAATACTCTCAAAGCAAGCAACCAGCGAGGGCTGATTCTTTTAAAACATGTGTTCCAAGCTTCGTCTTGGAACAATGTCCCGGGGAATTCTCGCCGGCTCTCGCGTCCTTCTCGTACTCTTCTTTTCCCTTCGTATCTCCAAATGAGAACTGCTGCTAGTAGCAATGGAGCTAAGAGGATTAATGCACAGAGGAGAACCCTCCAATTCAACCAGTAGCTTGAAGCTGTAGTATCCGCAGCAGCCATGGCTAGTCAAATAGAGAGTCCTAAAGATTCCACCAAAAAAAGCAAAGAAGAACTTCATCACTAAGAAACATATAAATTGGAATTTGAACTATTCACAAGACTGTAAAATAACGGACAAAAATTAGAGTAGCCAGTATAATTGGAATAAGAACTTGATTGAGAAAAAATTTCAAAATTTTCCACGAGCAGATTATATAAATAGTAATAACAGAACCAAATATTACTTGGAGAATTCGAAGAAGACCCTTTTTGTTCCGAAGATTAGGAGCGGACTCTCTAACGCATCCTCTCAACGAATCAAGAAGGTGCGACCGAGAGACTCTCACCAAGAGACCAGAAGAAAAAGGGAAGATCTTTGTCGGTATAATAATGAATTTAGTTGGAAGAGGAAGATGGGAAACTTTTGTCGTGTGTATTTTTCTCCGATCTAAACGGAATGGTCCAGACAAATCTATAAGAGCATCCGAATTTTGTATGTGTCTTTAAATATAAAATTATTAAAAGTTGAGTAAAAAAAAGAAAAAGAGTGTTTTTAGTTGAAATAATGGGGTGTATTGAAATATAAAATTAATAAAATTTGAATAAAGAGATAAGATAGTGGGTATTATTGGAGAGAAGATGTCTCGCGGAAGACAAAGTTAGAGAAAAAATTGATGAAAATTGGAGTGTGTTTAAATATAAAATTAATAAAAGTTGAGTAAAAAGATGAAAGAGAAAATATAAAGTTGAGTAAAAGGAAGAAAGAGTGTGTTTTTAATATTTTTTTATCTAGAGACATCCACGTTTGGTCTTCAACGTAGATGGTCTTATTTTGTTACACGCACGGTTATATTCGGTTTAAGATGTGTGTTTCTCCGGTTTTTTGCTGGTTCAACCTTACACCAACCGATACAAATGAAGCAAATGGCTTCTTCCCACCTTTTTTAAACCGGAGAGAACCGGGATTTAATGTCTAATTTTGTTAAAGAACTTCTGCTTTATTGTGTTTGTCAGGACGAATATCCAATGTTACATGAATATTTTATTTGATATTTGAAATAAAATATCCAAA